GATTACTTTGCTGTGTTACACGATGGTCACAGCAGGTCTCATAGTAACTCACAGAGAGCAGGGATATTCTACCTAAATTAATCCTGTTATTTAGAGACAGTCCATGCCGTGAAAAAGTTGGAGACTGTGCAAAAGTGTGAATGTGGAGGATCTGCATTAGGGTTTCTGTGTTTGTCTCCTGAAGGCTCTCTTTGTTCTTACCCTAAAGCTCAGCTAACGCAGGAGGAATGAATTTGCGGGTGGGTGCAACCAGCCTTAGCGTTTTGAATCGAAAAAATGCAACTTTCCAACATGCCACAATGGGACCATTCCACAAGTTCACTATGTCTTTACTAAGATTTCAGTTCGGTAGGTGGGTCAATACTGGCCTCACCCCCTAAAACATTTTGGTTTTGACAAATCAACGTTTCCCACTAAGAAAATATTTTGTTGGAAAATCCCTGCCCCAGTCCTCATGGTTTTACATTCAAAGATGCTGTAGGGAAGACTTTGTTTCGCAGGCAGAGACCTGCCTCTCAAGTGCCGAATGCTGAATTCGCAATTAAATAGTAGCACAGCTCTTTTGATAGCCTCTTCTCTATCAATCTGTGCTCTAAATTGCCAGTGAAGTATACAAGCCCCCTTCCTTTCATGTCTTGCCATTTCTCACTTTGATATTCCCCAGGAGCACTGAATGCCGATGATTAGATAATGAGGGTTTTTGTTTGGGTTTTTATTTTAGCTGAAGAGGATATAAGACCTCTTTTGAAATGAGCTATTAACTTAATGAAACGTCTTGGGAATCTGCAGCACCAAAGCTGACGGTTTAATCTTTGTCTGGGTATCTGTATGGTATACAAAGGCGAGGGGCTGCACTAACAAGTCTTTATGCTTTGTAGTGGGATGGGAGTCAAACGCAGAACTGCAGCATTAGTCACCAGATTTTTCTATAACAGTTTCCTGCAATATGCTTCGCATTTAGTATCAGGAGTTGAAAGCAAGGATGCTATAAAACCCTATGCTTTCCATGCCTCGGTGCTGTGGAATTTCACAAAGGTGGTGTTGATCATGCAGAGATTTTCTTTGTATTTATCTCCATAAGACTGTGTGTGTGTGTTTGACTGTTTGCACCCATCTCATCCTTCCCTGATATGTAGTTGTCTACACTGCTCACACACACACCCCTCTCTGCACTTAGCTATTCCCATTCATTCCCTAAGGGCATACATAGTAGTTTAGCACATTGCATTGGTTGTGTTAATTGCCTACCACACTCGCAGGCTATGGAGGGGTTCTGGCTGGCAACTCAAAGTGTATGTAAGGCTGCTTGAATTTTTATGACTTTCTCCCCCCCACACTTTCATCTGTCTTCTTTTGCATTGCAGCACAGTATTTAAGCCCATGTAATTTACACAGATAGAAAATCCAAAGCTCAAGCTTGGATCAAAATAAGGTGCAGATGCTTAACAGTGAGGTTAATTAATCCATCAAACAACTTGGGAACACAGGGATTGAACAAGACCACCCCAGTCATTGAGCCCAGTGTAGCATAACTGCACACAACCAGATAAGAGATGTTTGTTCCAAGGGGGCCCACAGAAACATCCGTTTTGGCTCTCCTCACACCTCCAGCCCATAGGGCATGTTGTAACAAAGATCCTTGGCAGATGTTAAAATAATGGAGTGATCGGGAGCTGAGGAATTTTATGCCCCATCCCCAGTATTGTATGTCCTGCCATGTCAGATGTGTAAAGCAGGACCCGTGATGTTGGGGAGGGGGCATAAAATTCCTCAGATCCTAATTGTATGACTACTGGGACTGAACTGGAACTTCATGGTTGCCCCCACCCTGATCAAGTAGGGAACAGCTGAATCTCAGACCCTGGATGCCTTGGGATCAGATTTGGGGTATCCCCAGGCTGATGCAGGCAATCAGCTGATTGTTGGCATCGCCCCAGGACAGCCCTGGGTCTGGGTCACATGCCACACATTCAATTCAAGGTGTCCTACAAATGAGCTACAAAGGTGTTCCACGTTGTATATGTCCCTTTGCATGTGGAACACCTTTGTGGCTGGGTTTCCATTTCAAGGCACCATAAATTAGTTGAACGTGTGTCATGTTGCAGTTTATGGCATCATTAACCTGTGATGCTATAAATGTAATGTCTGCCAGGGCCCAAACTAGGATCTTTGGAGGAAAAAAATCTCAAGTTTCCTAGGGATAGACTGGACTTTTCTTCACATCAAATCAAAACCGAGTATCTTTTCCAGAAGAGAGAGAACTCATCCAGAACCCATATGTTCAATGCAGGGATCATTGGGTAAACTGCTCTTGTCTACAGTATACAGAAGGCAGGCTGAGATGGTAAAGCTGTGTACCTATCAGCTGCCAAAAGCCTGGTATATTCAGAGTAATGCATATGTGTTTACATTCAAGCCTGCCTTTCCTTTCAGCTAGCAGTCGGAAGACGCTAGTACAGATATTGCTCTGGTAACATCTGTGGCCATCTAAGGAGAACAGTGAACCTGTTTTGGCTCTGCGTCCTTGTTCATAGAGCACCCATGCTGCATAGTAAAGGGTCTGTTTATAAACAGCTGATAAAGGATTAATAGATGTTTTAATAAATGGCTAATCAATGGTTATAGAGTTTGACATAGGACCATTGATGGACTGTTGATAGGTCCATTATAACTGGCTCCTATGTACATCTGACACCTACCAGTGCAGTTTTGCCGGTGTAGTTTTACAAAGGTGGGGGGCGTTCAAGTTGGAGTATCTGTCAAGTTATATCAGTTGTCGGGCTGTCCGTGTGTGCTGGCTCCTTGGTGACGGTGGTGCAAAGACACAATACGCCGACGTAAACGTGTCATGTGCCCAGCCCTGGAGTTCTGCGTTTGGCTTCCTCGGTGGCCTCTTGCAAGTCATATAACTTAGTATACCCATCTGTAGAATGCGGATGCTACCTTTACCTCGTGTCACAAGCATTAACTGTTGTTTTGTGTGAAGACTTCAGAAAAAGTGCTAATTTGCAACACTAATTAGTAAGAAGAACAGCAGTCTTTGGGCTTTCTACTATTTCCCAGAAGCCCAACTTGGTAGGGGCAGCACAGATGTTCTGAAAACTCTTTGATGCACCGTTTTTACACGGGTTTCCTTGATGGCAAATGCGTCGGTTACTGAATCAGGCCTTCCTTTCTCATAAAGAGTCTTTTGCTTTCAGTGGTGCAAAATCCTTTCCAGAGGAAAATGAGATAAAGCAGACTGCAGATACTGCTGGGATCATCAGTTTATTTCAGCCCTTCCTACATCATCACTCTCGATGTCAGGATTCCTCTCTTCCACACCTTCTGCCCGCTGGGTCTGTTTTATAGAGATACATCAACATGTGTGTACACAGCACACGTGCACACGCGCACTCTTACATTACATGGTGGAAGAGCCATAAGGTTAAAGTGTGTTGATTCAAACTATTTAATGAGGTGCAGTAAATCTTGACAAGACCAGCTGGCACTGGAGTCGAGCTTCTCATCTTTTTACCATTACGTTGAAACGTGAACAATAGTGGAAAGAAATGTAGCCCTTTTTTTTTTTTTTCTATTCCCCGCTATGCAAATATATAACATTGTATTGAAATCATCCACTTATATGGGATGCAGAGCAGGGTGGATGGTATGGAAAATGTGAATGCTCTAAAGGCCTCCCTTTCTTGTTCTTTTTCTCAAATTCTGCAAGCGTTATTGATATGACAGGTCACGCAAGCATGGTCAGCATTAATATCCCTATAACGTACATCCATCGAACAGAGCAGTCGTGTGCTAATGGTATCCAGAACGCGCTTTGAGCCTGGTGGCAAGATGCTTCCATCTCGAGCCCTTTTCCTCTGCTCTCTCTTGTCTTCTCAGTTCCCTTTTCTCTAATGTACCAGATTCGAACTGCTTCTCTGCACCATCAAAGCCCTCGAACATCACCTCTGCCTGGATCTCTGCTGTTTTGTATCTTTTCTCTTGGCTTCATCAACCATAACCCCCTGTCCGTTTCTTTCCCAAGTGCCTTCAGGCTGTATTGGTCTAAGGACACAGGCAGACAAGGTTCTTTGGGTAAACGTGATATCTTTTATTAGACCAACTCTACAGTTGGAAAAATTATTCTGTGCAAGCTTTCCAGGTACAAAACACCCTTCTTTGGGCACAGGGAGAATGTAGACAACTTTTATTAGACAACTAGTCTACGCTCTCCCTGTGCCCGAAGAAGGGTGTTTGTACCCAAAAGATCACACAGAACAATTTTCCAATTATATAGTTGGTCTAATAAAAGATATCACATATACCCAAAGAACCTTATCTGCCTTCAGGCTGTATGGCATTCATCCCCCAAATACATGCTTTTTCAGCTTCCTCCATGTCTATCATGGGAAATTCTCTACTTGTGATGGCTAGATGGAGGCTTAGCAGGAACTTTTTATCTGTACTATATTTTATTTATTTGCAGTCGCTTAGAAAACCTCTGACCATATTTTCTGGTGCGTAGGTGTCAAATGAAGATGCATCTAATATATGCAAAGTTACCTAATGAAAAATAATGGAAATAATTGCAATAAACATTTTGACAAAAAATTAAGTAGATGTATGCTAAACATTTCCTTCCCCAGAATGTTATCCTTGGTGGTGGGGAGTGTGCATTTTACACACTGGAAAATATGGTAAGCGAGTCAGTAATCCAGGTGTGCTTGTAGCACCGTGCCAGTCTTGTGCTTCCTCATACACTGATCTTCTAGCAAACCTGCTTTATTCCAATTAAAAGAAATCAGTTTAATCATCACCCTTTTTTTCTGGTAGCCACATCCATTGTTCCCACATATGTTACTAGCCCCACTGTTTAATGCCAGCTTCTTAAAAATAATTGCTTACTCCAAACCCAACCATATGCCTCTGGATTCACATGAGAGAGGTGGACAGAGCTTTAGCAGAATATCTCATAATGACAGAAGTAGTAACTATCCTTTGTTGCTTTGCGATTGCAGCATTTGATGTGTGCTGGGCTCTGGTGTCTGGTGGAAGGAGATACATCTTGTAAAACCAAGCTGGACCCACCTCTGGATGGCACCGAATGTGGCGCAGACAAGGTAAGCAGAGCGTCCTGCAGCAACTGCTTTGGCTTTTGTAACCTTGGCTATGGGATAATGTTGCCGAGATGTCCAGTGTTTACTGGAAGCCTTGCATTTCATTCTGATAAGACTAAGCAAGCTGTTCAGTTAACAGCTGGATCAGATGTGAATATTTTCCTTGTCTGTTGTTTCCACTGCGGTAGGCTCTGGAAAAACCCACGAGAAAACAAGGCCCTGTTGTGCTCAGCTCTGTACAAACCAAAAGGAAAAAAAGGCTGTCCTAGTCCCAAAGAGCTTACAATGTAGAAGGCACCTACTAGGTATGTCAGAGAGTTTTCTGCCTCGGTGACCTCCATTCATTTCAGCAGGACAGGCTAGCACAGTAGGCACATGAGTTAAGGCAGCAAAGAGTCTGAGACATCGGGGAGCAGGTGTATGCAGAGAAACCATTTGAAAGACCAGAAGGACAAAAGCCAAGAGTGATTCTGGATTTGCCCAGGGGAGTTTTGAATACCTGTTCAGATGGTATTTTCTTTTCCTTTCAGACCCCTTTCCTAGGTTTTTTTCTAGAATTACCAAGCTTCATGGGCTTAGCCAAACAGCTGGGACATATTCAAACTTTCCAAAATTCAGTGTGGTGGCAGAAATGACTAACAATATGAAAACTCCTTTTTTCAGCCAGTCCCCTCTGTGTGTCAGGTGCTCCCCAAATAACCATCATCCAGGATGGAGCATTTTGCGGTATGTAGACGTTACAGGTCACAGTGTGTCACCTACTGAGGGAGAGTCATTTTGTTAGCATCATCAAGGAAAGCATATATGTTAACTAAAAAATTAAGCATATTTAAAAAAAATGAATTATGAATTCTTTGATGCTGACTCATTAGCACAGCGGGCTGCTTTGCTGGGCAAACCTTACTGTACTGTATTCCAGCTAAAGCAAGGCAGTCAACCTTTGCAGCTTGTCTAAAGGACTTGTTAGACAGTCATTTTGGGCAGCTCCTGGAGCTCTTAACCCCTGGCCGGTCTGCACATCAACACTTTAAAGTGGTTTTAAGCACTCATTTTGCACCTTAAAGTTACACCACTCCGGGGCAGGGCTGTCTATGATCCGCACTACCCAGCTCCTGTTCCATTTAGGTGCAGCCGTCCCCCGCAGATGTGCTGCCCAAGTTGAAGTCCTCCAGGATCCCAGGATCTCTCACAGCTCTGCCCGTAGAGCAGGGATAGAAACCTGTCCTGGCTCACAGCTGCAGCTCCTAGTCCTGCCCCTGCTCACCAGGCCTCTAGCGACAAGTCAGAGCTGTGCAGGCGGGGGGACAGTCAGAGAAGGTTTCTAGACTAAGCATGACTGCTCCAAACTCGAGCCAGCACTAACACTGATCAATATTTGTGCAGCCCAGCATAAGGTGCAACAACGCCCTAACTCACCTCGGTGCTGACCCTGCAACTGCGGATGCCATCCCTTCCCTCCTTCCCCCCCATGCACTTCTGCTCAGCATACCCAGAGTCAACAGGCGAATGGGTGTGCCCGGCTTCTAACAGCGCACAACCCCGTGCCATGCTCAGGCTCTGTCCCCAGTGTGCTGCTAGGCACATGCCCAAGATCCCTTCATGGTAGCTTCAGCGGCTCATTCTGGGGCTTTGCACAAGGAGCAGAAGCAGCAGGTGTATCATGCTTTATGGGGATGGTCCCAGGTGTGTCACAGCATAAGCTGGGTGCAACTCCTACTGGAGTCAGCGTGGTTGTATGGGAACAAACCTCAAATGTCCAGAAATGTATGCATGGAGCACTCCCTAGCATTGATGATGGTGTTACGTTGGGGTATGATTTCTTGAACCCACTTTCTTCAGAGAGGGTTAATGGAAGTCCTAGCACTTGTCTGACCTAGACAGTTTTCTGTATTATGGTGCAAGTTCCAGCAGGAGGTTCAGTCATGTTACCGGTGTTACTAAAGACAAATATCCCTTTGGTTTAAACAGGCTGAGGAAGAAGCTCGCATTTCCATATTTCACCTTTTTTTTTCTTCCCTCCTGCCGTAAGCCCTGAATCTCCAAACACTTACACTTGCATTTCATTCCACCCTTGCCAGCCTTCCTGCTAACTCCGCAGGAAGGTGTCCACTGGACCATGCTGTGCTAACACCGTTGCATTTCAGTGGTGCCGAGCTGGGGAATGCGTCAGCAAGACTCCCATCCCCGAGCACGTGGACGGAGACTGGAGCGTGTGGAGCCAATGGAGCATGTGCAGCAGGACGTGTGGCACTGGCGTCCGGTTCAGACAGCGCAAGTGTGACAATCCCCCGTAAGTCTTCCTCTCTTGGTGGCTTGTGAACGTACAGCATGTTGAGAAACCTTGCTCCAGCGGAGCGGAAAGGGAATAGGGATGGAGCAGGCCTGAGTAACGCGAGCTAAGTAACGGGGGCATGCAGAGTCACTAGCACAGTGATAACTGGTGGCATGGACAAAATACAAGTCATATGTGAAGGACCAAACACATTTGCGGAGCATTTTTGGAAGGACACGATACATAGTAGAAATGGCCTTTATTAACAACAAACTGCAAGGACATGCCCATGTGGTACATGGGCACATAGCTGCCCTGTTTGGATTTTTTTTTATCAGGAAAGAGATGTCATTATTCACTCATTTCCCTACATGCTGATGAACGTTGACTGCATTTCTGTAATGTCCAGGCTTGATTTTAACCAGCTCTGTTTTCCTCCACGAGGGACCAGGATGGCTTATCTTTTATCAGTTACAGCTGCTCGAAACTCCGCTTAGCCACACTGCTGACCAAACCTTAAATCCATCTATTCATCATCCTCTTCCTTAAATTGCAGGAATTGCTGCCTCCAAGATTGCACGTGGATTTGAAAATTCTTTTGCTCGCATACGTTCTTGGCTGGGGATACGCACGTGATCTTCCTTCGCTTTATATTCCTGGCTATCTCCCATGTTCCTCTGCAGCTGGTTTATTCAGTGTCCAAAACTATTGGCCAGGGGATTTATTTATTATTTTTTTCATATATATTTGGTCTTGGGCTTTTTTTTTTTTTTTCTTGCTGGAATTTGTGTTGTTGCCAGATGACTTTTGGGCCTGTTGGGACTATCAGTATTTTGAAAGCAGTTGCTTGACTTGCTTGATTTGGCTTTGCCTCCTGTAATTTGTGAGACTGCTTGCATGGATGCCCTGGGATGGATCGCAAGGGAGAGTGATGCTACCCAGTTTGCATACACTAATTTTAGAGCCACGCTGCCTTCCTTACTTGCCCAGATCTCAGTGGTATGTTGGGGGAGGAGGGGCATTGGAAAGAAAAAACGCTAAGGTGAGATTCTCCCTCCTGCTCTATCCTCTTCATGCCATACAAAAGGACCAGAGAGCCGTAAAGAAACACAGCTCCAGCCATGGGGGATTTCTTTGGACCAGACGTTGTATAGAATAGCTATGAGGCTGTCCACAGAGGACCTTACAGGTGACACTGTGAGTGTGCAAGGAGCTGGTTGGGTTAAAAGAGTGCCATGTTGGGGAGCTTCCAGGCAGCACTGGAGCCTATAGGGAAATTAAACTAAGGATCAAGGTAAAATAACCCCTGCCTGGGTTCAGCTCAGCCATTCCAGGGGCTTTGTTCAGCTGCTTGAATATCCCAAAACTGGGAGAGTGCAAAGGTGGCTTCAAGCCACATCAGTCATGCCCTTCCTTGCAAGACTTGAGGGAGATGCTGCCCAGAATCTCCCTCTCAGAGGTTGGACAGACAGGAGCATCATGACGGCAATGTCATAGGGTGTGGGGAATCTGGCAAAGGGAGGCACGCAGCAAGCTTGCAGAAGACCAGGGAGGGTGTGACTGTCTCTTGATTTTCCCCTGCATCTTTGACCAAGATTCCCCCCTGCATCCAGTAGGAAGGTAGCCATGAAGTTGGGACTTTGAAATACTTTTAAAATCAGAGCCTCTTCTTGGGCGACAGACCTCTGGGTACTTTATTCCTGGCCTGAACAGGAACAAAACTCAGTGCATAATCCCTGGTGTAGCAGATGTAAGTTCTGTCCATCTAGTCTGTCTGTCTGCCTTTATCCACTGAGGGTAAACATTGTAGATGTCACATCTGTATTTTATAACCTGATCAAATAGGAGGTAGTTGCACATTAATGCACACACCCCACTGCTATTTGACAAAGCAGAGGTACGACTGCAGGTTTTTGTTGTGGATCCAGTGCTTGGGAAATGCCTTTCCCAGCTGGCAGTGGAAGTCTGTGTAAGGTTTCATGCTTCTGTGATGAAGCAGCTGAACGCTCCTAAACCTGTAATACTGGACCCCATTCGGTTTCAGGAGGCACGCTCATTTTATTCCTTAATTAGAGGAAGAGCACCTCAACATTTCTTAGCCTCCCATTTCTCAAGGCACGAAGTTTCTTCAACTCCTGTTGAGTAGGCTGGAGCTGGGGTGCTCTGGGCACCTTGGTATCTTAACACATCTGCCTGTTACTATACTATGACACCAATAATAAGAGCTGCCAGCTTTAATTCCCTATCAGTTGACTCATAAAAAAAAGCCTCTCATACATTAGTGACATTTTGAGATTAAAGCCAGAACCACTGCTGACAAAAGTACAGTAAATACAGCTCCTGCTGTGTCTGGCTTTCCACTACCATCAGCACAATATCCTGCTGTCCAGCAAGACAGATGTGTCACTAGATGTTATGCGTTCAGCCCTTCCTCCTCTCCCTCTCTTTCTCCCTTGCACACACTCTACATCTTTTTGCCACTTGCTTTGCAAGAAGCCATATAGTCTTGGCTGAAACCAAGACTCGTATATTTGATGTGCTGGAGTGAACATAGGATCCAAGCAGAAAGAAGCTCTGCTTCCTGTTTATAATCACCAGGGCTGAGCATCCACAGCATACTGTGCATGTCAGCGAGCCGAAAGCACCAGCCATGAGTCCTCTCGGAGGACTTCTCAGTCACGCCCAGCACATCTGCTGCCGCTGACATGTCTGCTGCAGACAAGAGGTGTCAGCAGTGCAAACAGACACTGGTTACAACCATTCCCCGGGTGACAGTCTGTAATGTTGTCATATCATTGGGGATCAGTGTTTCCATTTAACCATCACAAAACTGGTTTTCAAAGTTTATGTGGTCGCTGTAAAAACCCCCAATCTAGGCTGAAATTTGGCATTTACGTTCCATGTGCAGAAATGAACGCTTCCAAATACTTTCTTTCCTACACAGGGCCTCCTTACGGGGGGATTCACAGAAGTTTAGGGCTGGAAGGGACCTCGTGAGCTCATCAGGTCCAGCTAGGAAAGACTGCTGGGGTCAAATAACCCCAGCAAGGTGTGCATCCAGTCTCCTTTTGAAGATCTCCATGGTAGGTGCCTGCACCACCCACACTGGGAGTATAGTCCAGAGTCTGGTCACATGAACCATGGAAAAGTTTTTCCTTATATTTAGTCTGAAACCTTCTAGGAGTTTATAGCCATTGCTCCTGGTTTTCCCCTGGGGCGCTTTGGTAAATAATTGTTCACCTGGCCCCTGCTGTTCTCCCCTGATATATTTGTTAGCTGCCACCAAATCCCCCCAAAGTGAACTTTTCAACCACCATTGACTTTTATAAGCCAGGAGGGTACTCATCACCGGCAGGACGCTTTGTGTCAGGAGCAAATCTAATGGCTGAGACCCGATTATGCAGCCAGCCTTTAAATAAGTCCCGTTAACCTCAGGGAGATGACTCACGTTAAGAGCTGATGCTGGATCAAACCTATGGTTTCTACTCAGCATAGGGACTTATTAAGTTGTTCATTTGAGTAATAATAAAAAAAGTTTTTAGGATAAACTTCCCTGCTGCTAGGAACAGGAATTTGGCTGGAGTTGCCTTTCGATAGCTATCCACTGAAGGACAGGAAGGAAATGACTTGAATCTTTTTCTGCCAATCTGCCCGAAGAGACGAAATTGCCCCAGTGAGGGAGCGTTAGGAAAATGTCTAAAAGAAATTGAAATGCATGGACATGGGTGGCGGTTTTGATCGCTCGCAATGAAGTGAAGCACATTCGGCCAGGCTCTATCATTTCTCCCCATCATACTCTCGGGAAGTGGAAACAAAAATAAATTTGCTCTGCAGGTGCGGGAACCTGCTGTTCAGCGAGCCTCCCGTTTTGCAGGGGTTAGGCACAACTGTGTAACATGAGTTTGACACAACCTCTGAAGAGGGTTCATAGCCCAAGCCTGACTTGCAGATGTCAGGTTCTGGGGATCCAGATGATATCTGCACGTGTGCAGTTGCCGTTTCTCCCTGTTCCTGACTGTTAATATGCAAATCTACAGAGGTGCACAGTGCGGAAGAGATATTGGCTGCATCTCCCTGTTGTATGCAGTGAACTTGTCTGGTTGCAAAACAGCATGTTTCTTTTGTCCTGGCTGCAACGGGATGGAAAGCACATCGGGGTCAGAGGACTTGGCATAGTAGAAATATGCATGTATTTCTCTTACACCTCTGCTACCGATGCCCTAGGTTACCCTGGGCAAATAACTTTGCCATGCTGTTCTTCAGTTTCCTCGCTTATAAAGTCTTACTAAAATGACTTGCTTTTCCTCTACCTGTGTTGTGAGGCTTAACTGAAGTCCTTTGAGACCCTAGGCTGAGATCAGTATTGCCCATTATTATCTTCTAGTTTTAAATCAAGCCCCTCTTTGTAATACGTTGTTCTCTCATCAACGGGGCAGTGGAAAAGAATACTTTTATGTTCAAAATGAAAACTTGTTAAGTAGCTTCTAATTTCAGGTGGATATGCGCGTGGGAGAAATGCAGAAAGACTTTTGTTGTATTTCCGTCTGCTTTCTTACCTTCATAAAGCCACCCTCTGGCATAGCGCCACGCACACTGTTCTTGCTGTGGGTTTTGAGTCATTGGTTTACAAGGGGGAAGGTACTTCAGAAAGAAAGAAAAGTATTCCTGAAAGGGAACAGGATGTGATAAACAGCAGTAGTATTACATGGCTTCAGAAATCCGCCTTTGTATTTTTAAGCAGTAGTATTTGCGAATACTTACTGCATTGTTCTGATTTTTAAGTCTGTGTGTTTTTCCTCCCCAAGAACCATAAAAATCACACTCGGCTTACATGTGAGGCTGACCTACCGTCGGGCCCCTGACATTCTTAACTTTCTGTACTTGCAGGATTTTTGTGCACGCAATAAAAATGCCAAGCCAGAAATGTTTTCAGTGCAATTTTATTTCAGTAGTTTTAGTACATTTGACCCTGTGGGTCATTTTCTGGCTGTTTGATTCTCCTGTGGGATTTTATAAGAACAGTAGCAGTTCAGGATCTTTATCTATAGTTATTGACTTACATTCAAGGGAAAGGACTGTTTTTCCTACAATTGAACCTCAAAATGTGAGGTCAGCTTATAATCAGAACAATGTGGTAATATTGGTGCTTGCAGTGCAAACTTCTACCTGAAAATTACCATCCAGTCTGTGGCATTTTGATAAATCTAGTAATATTGAGCATTTCTGTAGTGCCGTCTGTTCAGTGCACCTTACTGACATCTGAGTAATCTTCACACAGATGGGGAAACTGAGTCACTGATTTGCCTGCAGTCAAGAGAGAGTCTATTGGCTCTGGAGGGCCTAGCTCCCAGTCCAGCGTTCAGGCTGCTGCTGTAGTCTGTCTACTGTACCCTGTCAACTTGACCCCAGTGCAGTTTTTTTCTAAATTCATTCTCGTGGCGCAGCGCTGTACAAAGGACATAGACCTATTGAGGTGTGATGCATTGGAAGCAGTCAGGGGTGCATCCGGAGGGGGTGCAATGGCACGGCCCCACCCCACTTTTTGCCCATGTGGCATGCTCTGCCGCCAGGGACTTACTTTTAAGTCCTCTGTTCCCTGCTCTGCTCAGAGGCATGTCCCTTCCTTTTCCCTCCACTCCGTGTCCTGTCCTCTCCCGTTCCCCTTTTTCCCACCAGCTGCTGTTGCTGTCCCAGGGGCAAAGAGAGTTTGTGCCCCCCTCCAGCTCAACTACACAGGGCTTGACTCAGCCTGGGATAGTGTGGGTGGCACGGGACAGGCGCAGTCCCTCTCCCCGTGCCTGCACCCAGGCTGCCAGGAAACATCAGTGGAAAGCAGACAGAGACGAGGAGCCTGCCCACTGCTGCTGCTGTCCTGGGCTGAGCCCAGCCCCTGCACAGCCTGGCTGGAGCGGCTGTGGACTTCCCCTCATGGCTGGTGGGGAGGGAGGAGGAGAGAAGGGGGGGAATGGGAGGGCAGGGGAGGGGGTGCCTCTGAGCAGGGAGGAGAAGAGAAGGGGAGAATCCTTACATTTTGGGGATTAAAAAGTCCCCGGCTGCTGCTCCCCTGCACTGTCTGCCTGCCCCCAGGCGTGAGAGGCAGGTGCAGACTGAGTGCATCCACCCCTACAGTGCAAGTTAGTGCTCCTGCACCCCCGTTGTAACATCTGGATCCACCCCTGGAAGCACTACAGATGGAGCCCAGCTGCCTCCGACACCTGATGAAAACTGTACAGAGACTTAGAAGTTGGCTTGCGCCTGGTTTAGTTCAAATAACAAAAATCAGGCCTCGGTACCTGTACCGGGATCTGTCCTGAAACAGGAAGATATCAAAGGCTTCTTTTTCTCCCTTTGTTTCCGAGTCCCAAAGTCTGCCAAAGCACTTCACAAGTTCGTAGCTTCAGCCACCAGTAATACGCTGCCCGTTTTGGGGTGAAAGACAACAGCCGCTTTACAGGGCACTGCAGCGGTAGAAAACAGATGAGGACAGAAAGCAAAGAGGATAGATTGCAGCTGAAACTTCACTTGGCCGGAAGGAGTTACTTTCCCCGATCTGAATTCTGGCCAAAATAGAAGGGGTTAAACACTCTTGCTCTCCCAAGAAGTATCGCGGGCTGTTTAATGACCACAGTCCAGGAAAGCAGCATGTATCTTATCTAAAACATGTGCAGTATGGACAGTCTTGTTTGTATGCCGACAGTGCGCGTGCCTTGCAAGAGCTTGCTTTTTTTTTGGTTCCCAAGTGGCTGCTTCAGATAAATCGGTTAACCTTTCAGCTTGCCCTGCCTTCTTTGGGAGCTGCTGAGAGTACAGTTTGGCTCCAGTGCAGATTTCAGACAGGAACGACACAGCTCCTCCGAGCAAATGGATTGCCTCGTGCAGCGGAAGAGAAGTAATGACGTGGCTGTGGAGGCTTTTGCCACTTCCAGTGCTAACAGGTCTGTCTTTTCCTTTACAGCCCAGGGCCGGGAGGCAAGAACTGCCGCGGGGCGAGTGTGGAGCACACCGTGTGTGAAAATTTGCCCTGTCCTAAAGGCGTGCCCAGCTTCAGGGACCAGCAGTGCCAGTCTCACGAGAGATACAGCGCGAAGAAGAAAAGCCTCTTGACAGCTGTCATTGTGGATGGTAAATTCAAGAGCTTTCCTTGTAGTTCCTCACCATCCCTCCTCCACTGGTTTTAACCCCTTCTCCCTTTGTTCCACTTGCCCCCATATTTCTCAGCCGCACAATGCTTGGATGCCCACAGGCTGGCTGTGTGGGACACCCAACGGGAATCCCTAAATCTCACTGCCATCTTGTATCCCTCAGCAAGAGGCAGTGGGTCAGTGATGGCAAGGGCTGTCAGAGGTTGTGGAGCTAATTCAGCTGTCACTCATCTGCACAGGCAGGTATTTGGGAATATTTCCCATCAGCCTTGCCCTGGGAAACTGGGCACTAATTCACAACTCTCCTTGGAATGTTCCTTTTGTGCCCCTTCATAGCCCGTTGCAGCATGTTGCTCTTGAACAGTTTTCCTTTACTGCTTGAAAAATGATTCCCAAATGCTCAGGAATATGTGAGAGAGGATGGTAAATAGAAACAGCTCCTTTCACTGATATTTCTAAGAAATGTAAAAGGGCAGTTTCATGTCAGGTGATGATCTTGGGCCAAGCTGTATCTTTGATTGACACCTGGCAGCCTCAGTGTTAGCAGGAACCTAGGTTTCATCCCAGTATTATCAGGATCCTCATCTACTCTCGTTCATGGCACCCCTGTTCTGACATCCAGGGCTCTCATAGAGAGAAATCAATCAAGTCCACTTGCCATCTGCTATGGGGCAACAGGATGTTTGTGCTGAATTTGGCCTTCTCTCCCCCTCCCCACCCAGGCAGGACTCCAAGCAGAGAAGAAGGATGATGGGTTGATTCATGACAGCAATTTCTCAGCTGCCTCATGCTGGTAAAAGCAGAGCTGAGGGAGCTGTAGTCAACAGTCATCAGTCTTAGCTCATTCCTCATCCAAGCTGACAGCAGCGAGCTTCCTCCCCACAATCACAGCATCTACTGTTACTTATGCCAAAGAAGTCAGCCTGAGGATGGTACGGTGGGCCACATGCAGGTCTGGGGGAAGCAGCTGGAGACACACCAGGACTTGCTGGAATAAGAGAATATTCTGCAGACTTTGGGGATTCTTTTACCTAAATAACACATGTCTTGAACCCAGCCCCCATGGGGGTTTGTTTGAACGTGGTTAATCAATTAGCCTGGGGTTTTCCAAGGAGTGTACGGACACTCGATGCCAAGGCACTGTTGAAATACCCTAGCATGTGGACCCCTCCTACCCGCACTGGGGTTTTTGAAGAGCTCATGTGTTTGTGCTGATACATGACCCCTGCCCACTTGAAAGCTGCATAATTATGTTAACCCTGTTCCCTGGCTGAAAGATACTGCTGCAGGAGCATGGAAAAATGCATGATGGGGGTAGGGGAAATGCAGCATCACTGTTTGAAAATGAAGCCTAGGACTGTTTAGCCCACCACCAGGCAGCAAGGTTGGCAGAGGGAGAGCATCGCCAGAAGGTGAATGGCAGACGCTTGTCAGAGGTCTTTGAAATCTGTACTACCAGCATGGGGAGAGTCGGGAGGTCGCTGCCTCCCAAGGGGCACTAAGTACTGACTTACGTCCCTTCTCATGGGAAGAAGGTAGGTTTTTCAGGAGAAGTGTTTCTAAAAACCCTTCAGACACATCCCTCGTCTGAGCAAGAACTGATTCTCCTTCGCCGTTCCTCCTAGACTCCCCTGACCTCTGGACACTCTCTAGCCTGGTTCGCCTAATCCTGCCCTTGAGTGTTCATTTTATTACCTGCTCTCTCGCCCAATATGAGACCCATTAAAGTCAGTTGGGTGAGACATGCTGGCCTACAGCATCTGTCTCACCCTTTCCTGCCATCATGGGTGCATGTGGTCCTTTTTACAGCCCTTCCTAACCATGTAAGAATTACCCTAGTCCCAGAGCCTTCTGCTGTCCCGCAGCCGAACGGGGCCTTTTCCCTGCTTTGTTCCACGTACATGCTCAGGGTTGCATGCCGGTCGCCATCCGGGACTCTTCCAGGGCTGCGAAGGCTGCTAGAGACATGTTCCCCCAATGGCTGCTTCTTCCGTCAGGTTGGTTCCAGAAAGGTATTGAGGCGGTTTGTGACTCCAAGGAACGTCAGTTTGGTTTTCCCAGCTGTATGGCTCTTGTTGCCGAGTTTTACGGAACAATACTCTCTCCTTTTCCGCCTCTATGAATTTAGCTGATTTTGCTTTGCTGGGGGCTACAGTGCAACTTCTTCCAGTCTCCTGCCCCTCTGTCCTTGAGCTCTGGATCTCTCCATGTTTATTGCCCCGGCCCACCCCACTTTCATGCAATGCATAGTCTAGCAAGTGAAGCAACTCATGTTCCAGTACCTCCCAATCACTTCAGTGTGCACCAAGTTTGGAAATGGTTATTCAGACTCAAACCTCCTTGCTCTCTGCTTGGTCCAGACAGTACAGCTGTCCTAAGAAAGCAGACTTTGTGTTGTATTTGGCTTGCAGGCCCTTCTACCTTCTCACAGACCTCTCAGGAGGTTCAGATAGACAACTTCCCCTTCCAGAGGTCCATCCATGGGTCTGTCCGACCTCAGCAGTGTTCTTCGCACAACCAGGAGGTGGAACTTCATACAAGACCAATTCCCACCTCTCAGCTGTTGTCAGCTATCAGTCATTCCCTTCTCTTCGAGAACAGCATTGATCCAGCAGCTTTGATCTCTCGCTTCCTTCCTTCCCCTCTGTCCCATGTACATCTTGCCTCCTGCAGCATCATGTAAAAGTGAGAACTGGTCAATTCGACTGCAAAAGGTGGACAACCCCCAGTTCTCCATCCCGCTTCTACCCAGCAAAATCAGCTGCTCTGTATCATGAAATCCAATCCGTTCTGCTCGTGATACGTGCCTTACCTAGGGAACTCCTTACTGTCATGATGGTTGTGTACTCCGGAGCACTCCTAGCTCTTAAGATGCTTCATGTACTAACTGTTATTTCCCCCAAACTTCTGCATATAACAGGCTCCATTAAGACTTTGTAAATAGGTCAAAACGATCCCTGGTGTAGCTCTGTTACCCCTCGGTGGAGTGACAGGAGGGCTAGACTGGGTCCAGGGTCCCCCACAATTGATAGTTTACTAGTGATTGCTGCCCTAGTCAGAGCTTCATATTTATGTCTTCTCCGGCAGGACAGTGCACTCCAGATGCCAGGCAGGGTTCATCCCAGTGCACAGACACCCTGCTGGAACGCAGACCCAGCGGTGACTCAGAGCATACCATGCTGTTCATTGATTCCCCAGTGGGGCTTCTGCAGAACCTGGGGTGATGCTGCCTCACCAGCTGGAAAGTCTGGTTCTCATTTAACTGGTGTTAATGGGGTAACACAAGATCATCTGAGCTCGTTGCACATTAGGGATTTCTTCACTCTTTTTTTTAATATAGATATTTAAAAAAAATTCCCTCTGTGGAACATGCCATCATCCATAATCCACACCCCCCACCGAACATTTCACAATCTGTTTTCATGGAAGGAAAATACTGGTAACATCTGTTTGTTTGTGTGGCCCATCTCTATGCTGTCTGAGCCTCCTAACGAGCTCCGACTCATCGCTTCCCAAAGAGTGCAACTCCAATGCACACTCCTTGCAACTCTTTTGGAGATTGGCAGTTCCTTGTGCTTTGAATGTTGACTTCACTGAGATCCCATCGTCATTGTCCCGTCTGTGACAGCATCGTTGCCATCACTGTTGAATTTTTGGGCTGTCGGAAAATGCTTTTGGCTTCCCTTTTTTTAAGAGACACGTCTTGCTCGCAAAATCCCAGTGCCCCTTGGTGACGTGAACACAGATCCCACCAAGATGACAGAAACGCCTGTTAGGTGACATTTCCAGACTAGCTTTTGGGAAACTTAAACCCTTCATGCTGGGCTGATGTTTTCATGCTCCTCTTATCTTACTGCTCCCAGTGCCACATCAGCATTGCTTCTGAGAAGTGTGAGCAGCCAGCCTGGTCATGTGAACCTTTTTTGCCCTATATACAGTCCAGATCTGTGCACAGATCTGTGCATCTATGCACAGAGGTGCATATATACTGCACTGTTCTGATTATGGGTTGACCTTGGATAAAAATCAGGCTCACATTTTCAGGTTCAGTTGCAGGGAAAAACACCTTTTTCCTTGAAAAAAGTTGATAACTGCTGATAAAGACCTTTCAGCGTATGTTGCCTTCCTGAACTCCCACAAGGGAATCCAGTAACCAAAGAAAGGACCCGAAGGGCTAAATGCACTAAAAATACTAAAATAAAAACTGCAATGAAAAAGTGTTTTTGAACTAACCAAAGTAGTGTAAGTATAAAAGGCAAGGCTGCCAGGGGCCCGATTGCAGGTTGACCTCACTTATAAACCAAGTGCAATTTTCTTGGTTCTTTTGGAATGAAGAAACGGGTAGACTTATAATGAGAACAATCCCGTAATTAGACCTGGCCCTAGCAGTTCTTAATGGACACTGTTAGATGTTACTACTCAGTGGAGTCTTATAAAATAAATGATTCTTTCAGTTCTAAAATAACACAGTTGTTGTAAAATAACAAGTGCCACCCGTGATCCAGTCCATCAGATGTCCTAGTGCTCTGTCTGTGCGTCGTGGGTGCTGTGGAGTAAGGTGCTGCTCTTGTATATTTTTTCAGATAAGCCGTGTGAACTTTTCTGCTCTCCGCTGGGAAAGGAGTCCCCCGTGCTGGTGGCCGACAGGGTTCTGGACGGCACGCCCTGCGGGCCTTACGAGACAGACCTCTGCGTTCATGGCAAGTGCCAGGTGGAGTAACTTTCTGTTGTTTTTTCTGGGTTGCTTTAGGCTCTCTGAGCTGTAAATAAAGAGCATGGAGGGTGGCTGTCAGACCGCCCACGAAATAACTCGCTTGAAAACCACTGCAGGAGTTTCTTGTGTTTTGGTTAAAGAAATAGGACAAATGCCTGAGATATAAGAACATATTACTGAACAGCTGGAGGTGTTTAATGATGTGATGCTCTCCCGTGTGGTAATCCAGCCATTCGGGTTTGAAGGGACCTACGGGGGCTCATGTGGTCTATTTAGCTCCTGCATTTTCCTCCTTGCGGGGGCTGTCCATTGGAGGAATGTTGCATGCTGTTTGCTAGATCAAACTGCCCACTAGCTCATTATAAATGTTGCATTATCAGCACCCTAGCCTGTCTAGATATTTCCAAAAATACAGGGATGGTTTTGTAAAGCCGCAAATGATGCAAGCATCAGTCTCCAGGAACAAGTCCTGCTGGAGAAAACTGAGTGCAAAAAGACTGGGAGGGAAAAATCCTCAGCCCCTTCCTGTGTTTCTGGGGTGGCTTACTCTGTGGAGTGGGTGGTTCTGCCAGGTGCTGGCGAAGAGATAGGTAAAGCTCATTTCTCCTGTCTAGTATGACTTGGCAGGGATCAGCCTTACTGGCCAGGCTGTGAACACACCGTTCAGAATACTTCGTGGTGTGATGTACGTCATGATTTGAAGCATGCATTCAGTAGGAGGCGAAGACTGATGAAGACTCATCTAAGCTCTGCCTATTCACTCAGCTTTCAGCATCTCATGCAGCAGTTCAGAATATGACCATCCGCTCCCTTCGGGCTCTTCCAGCTTGACCTCCTCTCCATGGGTTGTAGCTTTCCCGCCTGACATCTTTGGGCAGCGAGTGATGGGATCTCTCTAGCCAGCCATGTAGCTTTTTGGAGTGTGATACCTTTTCTCCTTTTCTCTCGTATTTTGATGAGTAGCGAAATGGTTAACAATGCTACCTTTCATCATGGGGATCCGAATGGAGCCATTCCCACCCCTCAGAGCAGTGCTTCCCAAACTGGTCCTCAGCATAACCCCATTCATGGCCCCTCACTCCCAGCCTACAGCCCTCCCACTCCCATGACCCCATCCACTGATGTTGCGACCCCATAGTTTGGGAACCGCTGCCTTAGAGTGATTGTTTCTGGCTCTCGGCAATCTCAGGTGGGAACACCGGTTACGCCCATTTCAAATTTGCTGCAGAACCTTTTATTCTTTCTTTTTTTAATTGAAAGCGAGGTTTTTGAAGGACAAGAATGGGGCAGGGAAAGGGGCCAGTGCACCGTTCCACTACACACCAGCAACCTTCCAGACCTCATGCGAGTACATACCACAATAGCTTCAGTGGTCGTCTGTGCGAGTCCTCCAGCAGGGTAGACACTTGGGACTTCTCTGTCTGGCCCACACGTGGATATGAGAGTGTGTTCAGGACTTGCTCCACAAAAATTAGAGTTGCAAAAGATCTGTTGAGTCATCCAGCCCAGCCTTGCCAATCCTGGGTTGGTCCCTTCTGTTCTTTCTCCAGATTCGTAAAGGTGCCAAGCGATGGGGCTTGCTGGTTTCCCCCAGACAGACTATTCCTCAGTCTAACACATCTGTCAGGCCATCTCTCCCAAAGTTTATCCTGCCATCTCCATTGATTTCAGTGGAACAGGGCTGATTTTTCACCAGCTGGGTGTCTGGCACAGTAAATTTAGCAAGAATCCTAATCGCTGTCATATATTTCTTAGAGTAGGCAGGGTTAGGGCCTCATAGCTGGCACGTCCTAGCTCAGCTCGTCCCAGAGGAGAAATAGTTGTCCAGTGGCTTCTGCTTTCTCTGTCGTGGTTCGACAGTGTCGTGTGGGGAGCACATGCAGGGAAGTAAATGGGAGGCTTTACTCCCACAGAGGTGCACATGTATTAGAGGCTTTGTATGCTTAAGATGTCCCCATTATAAATAGCGCAGTAGGATGTGTGCAAACCTTGATCCAACTTAGCTGTGCAGTGGTGCAACAAATGTTTCCTGCTACACAGCCCTGGAGGGACGCACTTTCTTCAGCTCTTCTAATTTACACCAACCACGCATCAGGGGTAGGAGCTTACTAGGGAGTGAGGCACAAGAGTTAACATGAGGAGCCCTACACATGGGCAGGCTCATGGTACATCCTGGTGATATATTTGATCTCCTATTTAAAGAAATGCCACTAATGACCTTTCCTAGCAAGACCAGCTGTGCCCCTCACTGCCGCACGCCAAGGATCATCAGGCCAAGCGACCCAGTGGACTACAAGGCAGATATTATAGCAGTGTGTGCTTTCTTCCTCCAGTGAGCAGTAGTAGTCAGCACCCCTTTCTGAGCACGGTGCTTTGGAGATGCATCGTGAAAAGCAAAGCATTGCTTTAACTCGGGGGCAGCTGCCTTCAACCGCGCGGAGAGGTGATGACAGCTGCAGAACATCCAGTCCATTTGCACCTGGCTACAGAGAAAATGCAAAATGATCGATTCAAGCCGGGAAGATTTTAAAGCCTTCTGAACTCATTTATAATGGTCTTCGGCTGTACGAACAGTTTAGCATGAGAAATCACTGTACTGCATCCTGCCCTGAGCAGACTCCTCTAGCTAGCTGCCTGACAAATCAGTTTAACATGCGTATTCATTGAATTACCTTTCTCTCCGGGTCATGCACTACGTAGACAAAGCCTGGTAACAAGCGGAGCAGGGGAACTTGTGAGGGAAATAAGTGGTGAAATGGGAGGGATGGAGGGGTGACAGAGATTTGTTTTTCTTCTTGTGTCATCCCTCCGCAGCAAGTAGCTAGAGGAGGCAGTGATGACACATTTCCAGGGCAAGAGACGTTTTCAGAAACCATTGCCTGCAAACACAGGCCAGGGATTCCAACAAGCAGCCCCTTTCCTGCAGCTGTAGATTCGTCCAAACCCATCTCCCGTTTCCTGACTGTAAAATGAATGCGGAGAAGGTTAGCAAGGAGAGCGATGTGCTTGCTAGGAAGGGGTCCTGGGGAAGGGGAAAGAGAAACCTCATCCAAAGCCTCTCAAAATATCCTAGCCCTCATCAGGAGCCAGATCAGGAAAAGCTGTTCTCATTTACATTGGACAGATGCATTGAACTTCAAACTTCACTCAAGGGTTGCAAGCTGGACTCAGATCTAAACAGTGCAAGAGGAGCCTTTTTCTTATTTGGTTTCACCTCACTGGAAATGAAGTTTTCATGGACGAACAGCACTGCCGGCAACGCCACAGTGTTCACTACCTGTAACTGTGGGCAGCGATGTACTAATCAGGCCCCATGGTAATCGAGTAGAAGCATCTAGAGCTGGAGAGATGCAAGTAAGGCATGTTGCCCTGCTGTACGCCGGTCAGTACTGGCTTCTGGAGCCGATGATATAAATGGAGTGGGTGAGACCAGAACGACGTGAGCCTGGGGTTCTCGTGCTTGGCTTCAGGATGTATGTCCAGGATCTGTACACCTGCTGGAGGCCTTCCCACTTCCCAGACATGGGTTTGATGCCATCCTTCTAAGTAGTTTTTCAGCAGACAGGTGAGGCGGCCACTGGGGCCTGGCCATACCGGCTTCAGCATTGGCTTCTTTGATGGCAAACCATGGATACAGGCCCAGCAGACGTGTTACCCATCCTCTCTGCTTCTGTTCCCCTGCCATCCCACTTGCTCCCTTTGCTCTGCCCACATCATTCGTCTTTCTGCTTCTGCTCCCTTTTTGACTCTTGCCTTGATGCTTTCCTCCTTGTTGCTTTCCATTCCTGAAAAATTCTCCAGCTTGTTTTCTGCAAAGCAACATCCCCTTTGTCTTTCAGATCCCTTCCATAAAACTCACCTTCTCGAGCAGTCCTACTTCCTTCCTCTCCCCAGTGATGAGGACCCACAGCTTTTCCCAAAGCAATGCCCCTTGCACTGCATTTGTCTCGCCTTAGGTAGATTCTTATACATTCATCAGGACAAAAACCGGGACTTGAGTATGGCTTTCAGTAACACAGAGCGACTTGGGAGTCTCTGCATCGGTTTCAAAAGGGCGTGTAGGCACTTAGGACCTACATGTCACTATGAGTCAATGGGATTTAGGCTCCAACATGTCTTAGTTCTTGAAAACAGCATCTACATCACTTTGGCCTTTTTTTTTTTTTTTACAATTTTACTCCATATATCTGGAGCAAATCTTACACAGATTTATCCCATCCTTAGCAAAACTCTTCAGTTTCAGCTATATAAATACAGATGAGAGTTTGCCTGCATTAGGACTAACTACAAAGTTAGGAAGAAAGAGGCTCAAGAGTTGGGCTGAATGCTGAAAAAAACAGTATAAAGTTGCACCTTTTCTGAAAGTGCTATTGTAGTAATAATGCATTTTCACTAGCAACATTCCTTGAGCAGGCTAGAAACATTGTTCGGCGTGCCTACGTGGAGTTGAGATTTGCTGCTTGAAAACATATTCAGCCCTCCGTTAAGTAAAATTCCTTGTGTTACGATGTTCTTGAGGTGCTGCAAATCTCTACAGTCTGGTTATCAGCAGTCTCTTGAGCCTGAGTTGAAGAATACAATTAGTGTAAAATGGGACACTTTGCACCCTGTAGCTACCGCCCCATCTTACCTGGATTTGGCTGTTAGGCAAGTCAGGGCTGTGATGGAGATCTGTGCATAAGAGGGTATCCAAATCTTGGATTGCTTTTAAGAAGTGACAGACCTACAGTGAAGGGTTCATGTGTGGTGGTCCCCGAACTTCTTGGCCCTGAAGGTGAAGGTTGCCTATGGTACGTTTCTTTGTTGGGAGTCTGCTAGGGGAGCTCTGCAATTTTTGAAGCATTCCAGTTTCTTGCTGTGTTGGTGCTGCTGGTGTTAGTACAGTATTAATAGCAGAAGCACTGTTAGAAAAAGCATTGTGAGAAAAGGAGCTGCTAGTCATCTAGCTGCTCCCAGTCACGTGGTACTCCCTGATTAGTAAATCCGTGCAAGGCTGA